ATCTGTCCTCCATTTTAAGAACATAAAAACATGTAGGAAAAATAAGTTCACCAACCTGAACTAAGACATCATCTATATAACCTATGGGGTGGGCAACATTTATATTAGCAAACTGTATGACCACACTCGTAGGTTGCAGAGGTCCAAGAGAAAGAGATTTATAAATGGACAGAGGCATAACATTAATGGAAGCACCCAAAATCAAGCATGGCATTTTCAAATTTACTATTTCAAATGATACAAGGCATGCAAAATGTACATAAGTCCTTGCATTTCTTAGGAATGTGTGGAACAAATTTCTTGTCAATGGCGATACATTTCTGCCCATGCTAATTCTCTCATTGTCCTTCATCTTCTCTTTTGAGTGCACAACTTCTTCAAGAATTTTGCATACTTGGGAATCTGTTTGATGGCATCTAGCAGAGGTATGTTCACCTCCACTTTCTTGAAGGTCTCCAAAATCTCCTTATCCACCTCTTCCATATTTTTTCTTTGAATCACTATAGGAGGGAATAGAAGAGGGATATGATGATGCTGCAAGTCAGAAGACGTACTGGTGGAAGAAGAGGATCCATTCCTACTTGTACTTACCTGCTGCTCTTGCTCAGGAAGTTTTCTCTAAGATGTCGCATGATCATACTCCTTTTTATCATGCTGAGGTGTAGGTGAAGGTGAAGATGGTACTGATGGTGGCATTGTGGGTATATGAATATGCTTCCCAGTTCTTAGGGTAATGGAACTGACATTTTCAGGATTCTACACATTTTGAGATCGTTGATTGTGCCTGATTAAGTTGAGTAGCCATCTGCCCCATTTGATTTGTTAAGCTTTAAATGGAAGCTCTGGTATCTTGTTGGAACTGCATATTCTGTATAGTCATCTGCCTCACCAACTCATCTAACGTAGGCTCAAAAGTGGAAGGTTGAGGACTTGTTTTCATATGTGTATTTTGTTGCTGCTGTTGTCTCTGGTATTGCTCGACTAGTGGAGGCACATACATTTTACTTGGGCCTGCAATATTTTGGAATGGTGGTGGTTGTTGCTGTTGCTGTTGTGGAGCACTAGACCATCTCAAATTAGGGTGATTCCTCCACCCTAGATTGTACCTGTTACTAGACAGATCACAATTTTGTTATTGTTGTGGCCTGTTGTTGTAGATGTTTGCAACATAGGCTTGAGGAGCATTTGGGCCAACAAGTTGTTGCAAAGAAGGACAAACACAAAGAAGAGCAACAAATACAAATTTTTGATTGCTAGCGAGCTGGGTCACCAAATTCACAAGAGCATCAAGCTTGCTCTCTAGTTCTTATCTGTAGATGAAGAATTATTAGCAGCAACATCATGAAATCCTCTAGTAACAATGGCTTCATTCCTTGCGCTGAATCGTTGGGAGTTAAAGGCCATCTTCTCAATCCAATGCCCAGCCTCCGCATACGTCATATCTCCAAGAGCTCCACTATTGGCAACATCAATCATACACCTCTCCATGTTGTTCAGACCCTAATAAAAGTACTAAAGAATGATTTGCTTAGAAATCTGGTGGTGAGGACAACATACACATAACATCTTGAATCATCCAAATATTCATACAACATGCACTAAGTTGACACATATCATGCAAAGTCAACACAAAAACATACATAGGGGGTACAACTACAAGTATACTCAAACCTTATCCAAATAAGCCGAAAATTTGTGAGAATCACCCTAAAATCATGAAAGGATAACACAAAAAATTTTAAAGAAAAATTCAAAGGATAACTATATTAACCACTAAAAGAAAGCTTATAAAAATGGGGAAATAAAACTTCAAAAATAAAAAGAAATAGTAAAAGACATTTTTTGGAGATTTGAGAAAAACCAAACAATGAAACAAATTGGGATTGATAGATCTCGTTTTTCTATCCCAAATGCATGTGATTTGTCCAATTCTGATAAAAGGATCAAAAGTTATGATAGTTTGAAGTTTTCACAAATTCGGGTTTCAAAAAACTTTGTATCTCAGAATTGGGACTACTGATGAATGAATTTTTATGACCACATTTATGCTTTAAAATTCAATTTTGTAGTGAGATTCTTATGCGTAAATGATTGATTTAAAGTGAATTTGTGACGATTGAATATATTGAGTTTTGAAATTAAATATGCTTAAAATGTGATTCTTAGTCGCATAAACTATTTTGGATGTTCTAATGTTTATTTGTGCAGTTGAAGTTAGAATTTTATTAATTTAAAAGCATGAAATTGAATGGTCAAAGCTTGTCCAATCTGGTCAAGTCAGGGCTCCTATGCAATTTTAAAAAGAAAGGGATGACTAAAGTGCAATCAGAGAAAAATTCTGGACTTCTATGCAATTTTGAATAAAATAAAAAGGGTTAAAATATATTAGATATAAGATAAAATATTTTATCAACAGAAGATTCAGAGTCTAAGCCCAATCAAGCCTATATAAAGAAACCTAGGGGAGGCATAAATCATAACTCATTCATTCTCAGACTCCTCCACTGGAAGTTATCATCCACCACTACTCTCACTTTTATTTTATCGTGTGTTTTACTCCATTAATGGAGGGCTAAGCTTAGGGCTACTCCACTGTAATTTCATTATGGATTTTGAGGTTAAGTTGAATTAATGCAATTGTTTCTTTTGATTATTGATTTGAGTTGCTCTCTTTCTGTCTTTCATCTCTCAATCATATTAAAAGCAATGATTTTTGCATCATAAGGTGTTTGAATCTACATGCATATTAATCATATGAGTTCAAGGGTTTCTAGGTTTGATTGAGAATCTACTTTGATTGAATTTAGGAACTTTCATATGATTAAACGAGTTTTTGCTATCAATTGAGAATGTACTTTGATTGGTGGTAATAATTTCAACTATAATTAAATGAGAATTTACTTTGACTAATTCGCTTTTAATTTGGTTAGGAGATTTAAGAATAAACATGATTAAACACAATAGAATTTGATTGAGAATGTACTTTGGTTGAATTCATTGTGAATAATCTAGAAAGGTCTTGCATTTGATTGAGAATCTACTTTGGTTAACTGCATGATCGCCCTCAAATTAATTAAGAATGTACTTTAATTAATTTGAAACTTGAACAATAATCAATTGAACAATNAGATTCAACTCTCCCACTAATTAATATTTGGGATGGATTTGAAAGTGAAGGTGAGAAATTCTAGATTCAATTGTGGGTAAAAAAAATTATATCACGTTAGAAAAAAGAAGATTGAAATCAGATAAAACTAATTAACTTTTGGGTTAACTAGAAAATCCAGTTAATTTTAATTAAAATTAATACATTGTATAAGAGAAATATATTTTTAAAATGAAATAGAATGTTAACCACTTTTTTTAACCATAGAATCATTATTTTATTGATCCTTGTATTTGAAAGGATTCAATCACAAGCCACGTAGTCAATTATAAAAAATTGTTAAAAAAATTGTTAAAAAAATATTTTCTAATAAAATATTATCATAATAATATTATGTCATTATGAATAATAATGAATTGCAGATGTAACTAAGCTACTTAAAGTAAAAATATATTCTCAAGAATCCTAACTCTTCTCCAAAAATGGGAAAAATAAAGTCATGAACCCTTTTTCCAATTAAAGAGATTTTCTCTTCTATCACAATTTTTTCTTCTTATATATATTTTTACCTTTTATCCTTCCTCCCAAAAAGGGAAGAAAATAAGACAAAAAGACATTAAGATTTATTTTACTACATAATTTCTAATAGTGACGCTATTCCCATCTAGGTAAATTGAAATCAAATTAAAAGTACAATCATGGATCGATGTGTTTTTTTGTTTCTCAACATAAGTTCTTTTTATTTTTTTAAGTTGAAAATCATCATCTTTTGGAACGCATATCCGATGAAAAAGCTTACATTCTTTTTCAGTGATAAAGATAAAATTAAAAGAAACAATATCAGGAGAAAAATATTTCTAACAATATCTCAAATACAAAACTCTTAGAAACAAAATAAAAAAATCAGGAGTTAATAGTCAAATTGGACTGTTTCAAATCTGAAAAAGAGGGAAAGCAAAAACAGATGTTCTGTAAAATATATAAAAGCAGAAAATATTTAAAAATAAGATTAATTGATTCATATAAAATTACAATTTTTTTCTGTTACTAATTTATTTTCAAATTCTTTGAAAGAGATCAATCCACCACAGTAAATGATCTATCGTATTTTGTGACATCAACAGTAATTTAAGAATAAAAAATAGTGAGTCAAACGTCGTAATAAATTACCGACTAAAAAGTAATAAGCTCAGTACCGCGTTTCTTGTGAACTTCGAGGAAATATGCAGAACAGAACAAACTGACGTAATATACCCAAAATCGTAAAATCAAACAAAAAATCATAACTGACATCAGAAAATACTAAGTAATACATCAAATCCTTAAAATAAGTTCTAAATAAAATTTATAACTATAACATGAAAAAGATACCAATGAAAAAATAAATAATTTTTTTTTAAAACAATGACTTGTCAATCAATATTCTATTTTATAGAAAAACACGATAAAAAATGAAACAAAAATAATCTTCTCTGATGTAGAGAAATAATGAGTAAATATATGTATTATTTTGTTTGTTAGATACCTCCTCCTTCCTTTTTCAAAAGTCAATTCTTTGAAACTAAAGTTATTCCTTTTCGTTTCTTATAATTTAAATTTCAAAATAATATAATTTTTTAATTATATCCTTAATTTATAAAAGTTATTCTATTTTTTTGTTTTTAACTTTTAAATTCAAAATAACATATTTCTTAATAACTAATATAAAATCTAATAATACCAAACATATATATTAGAATAAAAAATTGAAAAAAATATTGTAGATAATTCATTTTCAATTAAATTAAAAAATAATTTAAATTTAAAAACATTAAACAATTTTTATAAAAGAAAAAGGTTCAACATAATTGTTTATATTCTGATGACTATCTTTTCTTTTTGTTATTTTTCCCTCCCTCATTTTTCTTCTCTCCAAATCAAACCCACAATAACTGAATGTATTACAAAATCCTCGAAAACGTGTCAGGATAGAGATATTATGAATGCACAAAACCATATGCTCGTGTTTCTGCGTGCAACTTTGCTTACTGTAACAGAAAAAATGGATGAGGACATTAAATTCTATAAAATAAAAACAGAGGAATTCATGTAGGTTTAGTTTAATTTTACAGATTTCATTTTTATTTCATGATTTTGGCTCTTTGGTGTGGTAAGTATCATGCATTCAATTACCTGAAGCCAAGTCTTCCTCTCGACATCTTTGAAATCATCCCTAATATACAGAAGAGCACCGGATATGACCCCTGCGGAAACATACACCAAGCGATCAATCGCGAAGTCGAAACCAAAGACATAAAAGCAAACACTGACACTTGTTTTTAAGAAATTTCAACGAATAACTTACGAGAAAAAACAATTGATTATGAGAAAACTACAGTAGAGAAAAGAGAGAACAATGTTTGAATTGATTTGACATATTACCGGTGTCGTAGCCGAAAAGAAGACCACCAATTCCTGCAGAGAAAGCGAGCCGAAGAATATAGGGATTCTTCCATGAGAGGGAGAGACATTCTCTGAAGGCAGAGACATCAGCCTCTGGTACTCCTCCCTCCATCGGAAACGGTGGTTATGAACAGAGAGAGAAAGAGTTATGACAAAGAGAAAGAGCTACAAAGAGAAAAGAGTTACAAACAGAGAAAGAGAGTGAAAAAAGTGATTGCGATGAGAGTAAGTGAGGGAAGAACTCTATTTATAGAGAGACCCTTGTTTGGTTGACAGACCAAACATCACTCTTAATTTTTTTTATCGATTTAATTTTTCTTATCAGATTTAATAATTTATAGATTTATACTTTAATATAATCAATAACATTTATTAATATTTTCTGTTCATTACTTCTTTCCTTACTCTTTTCCAGGCTTTCGAAAAACGGTTATTTTTATTCATTTTTATTGACATAATAACTTATTAAATAAATTGAGAAAAAAATATTATATTTTTATTTTAGACTTAAATACTAATTAGATTTGTACTTTTTTTGTTTATATAATTTAGTCTTGATATTTTTTTTAATTTGATTTAATTTGGTTTCTTTTTAATATTCTTTAAATTTATTATGGTGAACTGTGTTTACTGTGTTATCTATGATTTCTTTTTAGTTTTTAAAATTTTTTAATTTAAAAAAGTTAAAATTGTTTTATGGTCTTCATATTTGCACAAAATTTTTAATTAAGTCATCTCGTTTTAAGTTGTTTAGTCCTCAATTTTGAAAAGGTGATATAATTTAACTATTTTTGTTAATAATGATTTTTTCTTTTCTACTTTTTTTAAACATTTTTTATTTTTTAAAAAAAACTTTGTCACGTGTCAAGACTCAGATTCAATCACGGATTTAGATTCAGATTCAATGCATGAAAGAGAAGTATACATATGGGATAAAAAAGAGTGTTTCTTATCATGCAAAGAATCAAATTCAACATATTCATCAACAACATTATCAAGAATATCAACTCGAAAAACAAAATTGTCCTCAGATGGAAATTTCATGGGATCAAAAATATTAAAATGCACAACAATGTCACCAAATTCCATGGATAATGTACCAACATGCACATCAAAATTAGGTCGGGCTATTTTCAAAAATGGTTTACCTAAAACGATTGGGGCATATTTATGGGAGAATCTGTCCTCCATTTTAAGAACATAAAAACATGTAGGAAAAATAAGTTCACCAACCTGAACTAAGACATCATCTATATAACCTGTGGGGTGGGCAACATTTATATTAGCAAACTGTATGACCACACTCGTAGGTTGCAGAGGTCCAAGAGAAAGAGATTTATAAATGGACAGAGGCATAACATTAATGGAAGCACCCAAAATCAAGCATGGCATTTTCAAATTTACTATTTCAAATGATACAAGGCATGCAAAATGTACATAAGTCCTTGCATTTCTTAGGAATGTGTGGAACAAATTTCTTGTCAATGGCGATACATTTCTGCCCATGCTAATTCTCTCATTGTCCTTCATCTTCTCTTTTGAGTGCACAACTTCTTCAAGAATTTTGCATACTTGGGAATCTGTTTGATGGCATCTAGCAGAGGTATGTTCACCTCCACTTTCTTGAAGGTCTCCAAAATCTCCTTATCCACCTCTTCCATATTTTTTCTTTGAATCACTATAGGAGGGAATAGAAGAGGGATATGATGATGCTGCAAGTCAGAAGACGTACTGGTGGAAGAAGAGGATCCATTCCTACTTGTACTTACCTGCTGCTCTTGCTCAGGAAGTTTTCTCTAAGATGTCGCATGATCATACTCCTTTTTATCATGCTGAGGTGTAGGTGAAGGTGAAGATGGTACTGATGGTGGCATTGTGGGTATATGAATATGCTTCCCAGTTCTTAGGGTAATGGAACTGACATTTTCAGGATTCTACACATTTTGAGATCGTTGATTGTGCCTGATTAAGTTGAGTAGCCATCTGCCCCATTTGATTTGTTAAGCTTTAAATGGAAGCTCTGGTATCTTGTTGGAACTGCATATTCTGTATAGTCATCTGCCTCACCAACTCATCTAACGTAGGCTCAAAAGTGGAAGGTTGAGGACTTGTTTTCATATGTGTATTTTGTTGCTGCTGTTGTCTCTGGTATTGCTCGACTAGTGGAGGCACATACATTTTACTTGGGCCTGCAATATTTTGGAATGGTGGTGGTTGTTGCTGTTGCTGTTGTGGAGCACTAGACCATCTCAAATTAGGGTGATTCCTCCACCCTAGATTGTACCTGTTACTAGACAGATCACAATTTTGTTATTGTTGTGGCCTGTTGTTGTAGATGTTTGCAACATAGGCTTGAGGAGCATTTGGGCCAACAAGTTGTTGCAAAGAAGGACAAACACAAAGAAGAGCAACAAATACAAATTTTTGATTGCTAGCGAGCTGGGTCACCAAATTCACAAGAGCATCAAGCTTGCTCTCTAGTTCTTATCTGTAGATGAAGAATTATTAGCAGCAACATCATGAAATCCTCTAGTAACAATGGCTTCATTCCTTGCGCTGAATCGTTGGGAGTTAAAGGCCATCTTCTCAATCCAATGCCCAGCCTCCGCATACGTCATATCTCCAAGAGCTCCACTATTGGCAACATCAATCATACACCTCTCCATGTTGTTCAGACCCTAATAAAAGTACTAAAGAATGATTTGCTTAGAAATCTGGTGGTGAGGACAACATACACATAACATCTTGAATCATCCAAATATTCATACAACATGCACTAAGTTGACACATATCATGCAAAGTCAACACAAAAACATACATAGGGGGTACAACTACAAGTATACTCAAACCTTATCCAAATAAGCCGAAAATTTGTGAGAATCACCCTAAAATCATGAAAGGATAACACAAAAAATTTTAAAGAAAAATTCAAAGGATAACTATATTAACCACTAAAAGAAAGCTTATAAAAATGGGGAAATAAAACTTCAAAAATAAAAAGAAATAGTAAAAGACATTTTTTGGAGATTTGAGAAAAACCAAACAATGAAACAAATTGGGATTGATAGATCTCGTTTTTCTATCCCAAATGCATGTGATTTGTCCAATTCTGATAAAAGGATCAAAAGTTATGATAGTTTGAAGTTTTCACAAATTCGGGTTTCAAAAAACTTTGTATCTCAGAATTGGGACTACTGATGAATGAATTTTTATGACCACATTTATGCTTTAAAATTCAATTTTGTAGTGAGATTCTTATGCGTAAATGATTGATTTAAAGTGAATTTGTGACGATTGAATATATTGAGTTTTGAAATTAAATATGCTTAAAATGTGATTCTTAGTCGCATAAACTATTTTGGATGTTCTAATGTTTATTTGTGCAGTTGAAGTTAGAATTTTATTAATTTAAAAGCATGAAATTGAATGGTCAAAGCTTGTCCAATCTGGTCAAGTCAGGGCTCCTATGCAATTTTAAAAAGAAAGGGATGACTAAAGTGCAATCAGAGAAAAATTCTGGACTTCTATGCAATTTTGAATAAAATAAAAAGGGTTAAAATATATTAGATATAAGATAAAATATTTTATCAACAGAAGATTCAGAGTCTAAGCCCAATCAAGCCTATATAAAGAAACCTAGGGGAGGCATAAATCATAACTCATTCATTCTCAGACTCCTCCACTGGAAGTTATCATCCACCACTACTCTCACTTTTATTTTATCGTGTGTTTTACTCCATTAATGGAGGGCTAAGCTTAGGGCTACTCCACTGTAATTTCATTATGGATTTTGAGGTTAAGTTGAATTAATGCAATTGTTTCTTTTGATTATTGATTTGAGTTGCTCTCTTTCTGTCTTTCATCTCTCAATCATATTAAAAGCAATGATTTTTGCATCATAAGGTGTTTGAATCTACATGCATATTAATCATATGAGTTCAAGGGTTTCTAGGTTTGATTGAGAATCTACTTTGATTGAATTTAGGAACTTTCATATGATTAAACGAGTTTTTGCTATCAATTGAGAATGTACTTTGATTGGTGGTAATAATTTCAACTATAATTAAATGAGAATTTACTTTGACTAATTCGCTTTTAATTTGGTTAGGAGATTTAAGAATAAACATGATTAAACACAATAGAATTTGATTGAGAATGTACTTTGGTTGAATTCATTGTGAATAATCTAGAAAGGTCTTGCATTTGATTGAGAATCTACTTTGGTTAACTGCATGATCGCCCTCAAATTAATTAAGAATGTACTTTAATTAATTTGAAACTTGAACAATAATCAATTGAACAATGATATGTGAATAACTGATGATGAATCTATCTTGGAAAAGCAGTGAAATTAGCCTATTTCATCATAATTGTTTCTAAGTTTCCTCTTTGTTCTTCAAACATGCTTTAAATATTAATTTCATTTACATAGTTTCTCACTTTTATTCTTGAGCATTGCATAACATTTATATGATTCAAATATTGAAAAGAAATTTCGTATTCGTTGGTAGACGACTTAGGGTTACTTTAACCCTATCTACTTTCTTGAATACTACTTGGCAATACTAAAGTTTCCTTGAAAAGTAGTATTAATTTGATAACTTCAACGACAGTGTATCAACTACCATAAGTGCTTCTGGGATTTTCTATCAAAATATGGACCAAAAGAAGTGCACACACAAAATTTCAAAGAAAACTAACACCTCTAGCTATCGGAACAAAAAATTACTAATTAAGTAGGAAACCTGGGTACTATTCAAGGCTCTATTCACATGGCGGTATTGAAGATAGTTATTATTCCATTGGATTTTCATTCGCAAACATGCCAAATAACATCCAATTCTCCTAATTCTGACTTGTTGAACATGCAACCAGAACACACGCACTCAAAACACGCAAACAAAACACAAACACTAAACAAAACACACACACACACACACACTAACATGAAACCTTAAATAAAAGCTTGGTCTCTAGCAACGACACCAAAATTGATGTCGAGGCCGCGCTCTACTCAAATTGAATGTGCAAATTAAATGCAGTGTGCTAGGAAGTGACTCTTAGGTCATCTCTCAAGGACCAATTTTGGTTCTGTCAAATAATCAAACATGTTGGGGGTGTTTTGAAAAAATTTATGAATTGAAATTAAGAAAGTAATTAACTTAGACTAAACAGTGATTAAAAACAGGTTGGCCACTAGTTTAA